GTTTTGTGGATTAATAATAATAGTGATAATCATACTTTACGTTTCAAAATATATTTGTCACAAAAGTGCTATTAGGGACTAAGTGAAAAACTAGTGTACATTTTTTTTTCGTAAGAGGTTAAACAATACCAAAATAATAGTAAAAGGTTAAAACTCAAGTCTGATTGTAAAAATGCCCTGAGAATCCTAGACGATCAGGGATTCCGCTGTTTCCCGATCAGCCAGATTTCACCGCCTCGCGGATATGTCAGAAAAAACCCGAAATTTATCCCGAACGCCATTCGATACCCGACATCATTGACATAACAAGCTTGAGTTTTCATATGTCGAGAATGATCGCCGACCATCGCACAAATCTCGAACGCGTCGGGAAAATCGATCATCCAAGACGATTGGGAATGACTACGAGTTCGAGTTTTCATAATGCCGCAAAATATGGGAAGGTCGCGAAACAGTAAAATCCCTGATCGTTTGGGATTTTCCCACCCTAACCTGCCATAACTTCATGATTATACAGGGCTGAAATTTTTCAAAAATATTATTTTAAATTTCTGCCACGATTCTAAAGTAGGAATTTTCCATGTTCTACAAAAATTCAAGACCCACTGCATTACAAAATTCTAATTCAATAAAATCATTAAGTCTATTCCTTGCTTTCGCCTCCGAGAGTTACTTTATCAAACTGATATTCGCCAAGAGGGTAGTATTGTTCGGAAAACCGTTTGAGGGTGTTAATGTAGTTTGATAGTTCTTTGATACTTTCAACCTGCTCGCCAAGAAATTCTGAGTCCAAAAAGTCTTGAAACTGTGGGAAAAAAAAAACATTATGTCATTATCTGTCTGCCCGACTTCTTGACTAGTGAAGGAGTGGTTTTCACACTGAGCAGTCTCTAAGCTAATAACCTGCGAGCAGGCTCTCCATTTGGCGGGAAAAAAGTCACGCAAGAGAAAAGGCGGGGGAAAGAGAGCTTTTTTCTCCTTCGATGTCGCCAAGAGATAAAAACTAGTAAATCGCTACTTCTCAAAGCTTAAGATTTTTGACTTCATTTAACGACGTGCATTGGTTTCTGACTTAATTAAGAACCGCAGGCTGCGATGGCTTGGTCATGTCCTAAGGATGCCCAATGACGGTAGAATCAAATTTTTTATGAAATGGACCCCAACTGGAAAGAGGAAAAGAGGCCAAAAACCACCTGGGGGAGAACAGTGATGAAAGAGCTGGAAGAGTGGGGTCCAACACGGGGGTAAAGCACAGGCCAAAGATCAGAACAGGGTAGACTAAGTAGTTTCAGACTAACCTGTATGCTGTTAGCTTGTCATGGAGGGGGAGCTTGGGTACATTAATGACGCTGTGAACTATACTGCAGGGGGGTTTAAACTACTGCGAGGACAACCCTTGCCGGATAGGTTACAAGGGGGAGGACAGACTAACAGCAGCACCTGGTCCCCCTTGTTAGGGGTTGGGCGTGAGGCTAACAACCCCACCCAGAAAAAACAACATGTTGCCAGATCTGCGCGGCCTCCCAGACAGGATGAAGAAATTGAGTGAGTGAGTGAGTAGACTGACTGGCAGGCGTTCGAAAGGGCATTTGGGCGCGAGACCGCGCCCGAGGGAGAAGGGAGGAGGGGAACCCTCGCGTGTCCTTGGCGTTTCCGCGCGCTTGCAATCCTCTTTCCCTTCTCTTTTAAACGCCTGCCAGACAGGCTAGTTAGTGAGCCGTGAGTGAGTGAGTGGTTTCAGAGAAACTAAGTTCTTTACCTGAGGATCATCCGATGCCTTCTTATGGATGTCTACTAATGCCTGGTATACCTCCAATTCAAGGTGATAGGCGTGCGTCATAGCGTCTAAACCATTTCCCCAGTGATTCTCACAAGGTTTCTGTTAAAAAGAAAAAACACCATTTTTAAGACAGCTGAGCTTCTGGTGTCGATGGAGAATAGACCTTGTCACGGTTTAGAAGCGATCTTGACGAGCAGGCAACCGCGTGAGAAATAACAGTGTTTGTATGAGAATCTAATGTCGAATAATTTCCGTAAAACGGTTGTTCAGAAAAAAATAAAATGAATTGTCAACTGAAGCTACACAGCAAAGGATTCTACTAACAAATTTTTGGGGCCGTACCATTTCTCCAGACAATCGCTTTCTCGAGGAGTCAAGCGAATGTTTGAAACTCAGGAAAGAAGCGTTTTTTTTTTCTCTCCACTGCGTCCAAGAATTGATTCTCGGAGATGGCGGCATGTGTGCGTTTACTTTGTTTGTTGTTTTTCTCCCTTGGGAGTTGCACTGAAAACTTTTTTCTGAGTACATCGGTTTGTCAGTTTCCTTAAAAACCTTTAAATCCCGATAACAAATTATGAGTTCCCCGACCCGAGTGTTTTGAGAGTAAACAAACTACAATTACCCCTTACACTCTCTAAAGCAGCTTAAGTAAAAAATATTCAACAAAATTTTCAAGTTTCATTTAGCCAAATGCTGAAACACAAATAGAACCATGCTTAAGTATTATTAAAGAGGTTTCATTTGAATGGTTACAGTACAAACATTTGGTCCACAGACTCAAACATAACTATCCAAGACATCACCTTCAATCATTCTGGCGATTACTTCCTTTGCTGACAGTTTAAGAGGAAAACCGCGCTCGTTCGCTCATTTTGGAAGGCACTGAGCAAATTGATGTCTTTCGCTTTTTGACTGACGGCGATGGATATAATAGCCAGCCTTTCCATAGAGAGGCAGGGTGGCCGAGTGGTTAGAGCGCTGCACTTGCAATTCGGAAGCCTCGAGTTCAAATCCAGCCGCCCTGACCGCAAGCTGGATTTGTTCTCGGTAAATAGCCAGCTGCTTTGCCTCCGGCCAGTTGGGATTCTTGACCCCATTATGTTTGATTAAAATTATTTGTTTCAAGAATTTGCTCGGCCCTACTAGCATTAGCGCAATAAAACTGCCGAGGGTAAATAACGGGAACTTTTTTTTAGTGGTGATGTTTTAGAAAGCTTTGTTGTTGTTGTTTCCTTTTTTGCGCTGAAGAATAGCAAATATCTTACCATTATGTGATGCAACATAACACGTCCTCCACGCAAGTTCTGATATTTCATAAACTGTGTGCAAATATAAGAAAGTTCAATTAGTGTATCAATTTGACTTAGACCCCGTCTACACGTATCCGGATTTTTTTTCAAAACGGAAATATGCGTCCATACGAAGCGTATTCGATTCGTTTTCACAGTCCATACTAAAACGCTCAAACGATGGAAATTTTATTGGACAGGGCCTTAATGGTTGAAAACACGCTTATACTGTTCCAGCCTTTCCACTTATTCGTCCCTTACCCCTCTAGTCTGTTTTTGAGCGTGCCGCCAAATTCGCAGTTAAGCCTAGTTTCCATCATTCTCTTCTTAGCCTTCGTGGCGCGCTGCTTTTGGGGGTTGTTTTTAATTTGTGTTTTGTAAGGGAGGGAGCAAGGGTGGCGCAGTGGTGAGAGCACTCACCTTCCACCAATGTGGCCCGGGTTCGAATCCTGGCGTCGACGCCATATGTGGGTTGAGTTTGTTGTTGGTTCTTTCCCTTGCTCCGAGAGGTTTTTCTCCGGGTACTCCGGTTTTCCTCTCTCCTCAAAAACCAACACTTTCAAATTCCAATTCGATCTGGAACGCACGGACACGTTTCAACGAGTTCTTATGAAGTCCTTAGTGCTCCAAGGGTAAACAAATTACAATTTACATTTTTTTTTTCTTTTGTAAAGTACGTAAGTCGTCAAACAAAGAAACGATGGGAAGGGGGCGAAAGAAACAAGGCATTTTCTCTGCCTTTTCTCTTCGTTTCTTCAAAGACGAAAGGAAGACTTTATGAAAAAAAGATGTAATGTACCATCTGAGTTACATAAAGGAATATCAAAGATCATTATAACCGTTGAAAAGTAAATCTCGGATCAGTTTAGTTTAGCTTGTTGTAACTATAATTTCCGTTATTTCTAGCAAGAAGAGAAATCACTTTTGAAGTCTCTACTTTCGAAGGGTCGCTACTTTTGGCATTTGCTAACACCTGTGAAATTTTATCGCTACTTTCGAAGGATTGCTACTTTAAAGGGGTCGTTACTTTGGTAACTTTACGGTAAGAGTTCAAAAAAGTAAAAAAAGTAAGTCAAAATAACCTTCTGAGCATGCTTCATCTCTTCCTCTGCCGACTCCAAGAAGAACTTGTGGAATCCAGGAAGGTTGATGTCGTCACGGTTAAAGTGCATGGCCTGAATAAGAAGCAAAGGATTTACAGTCGAACTTCTACTAAGAAACACAGAGACCTCTATAACCAACAGACACCAGAACTTAACGGACAGAAACCTCTGTATATAAAAAAACCGCGTAGTTGTTCGTGATTGGTTCGAACAGACACGAACAGACACCTCTATATAACGGACAGACATATCTGTATTACGGACAGACACCTCTATATGAGGGACAGGCATCTGTACATAACGGACTGTTAGGAATTGCCTCCAAAGCTGAACGATCTTCTAACACACTCACAGAAATCCCGATTCACTCGTTTTATTTCTTTCTTCCCCTCTCCTCTTGATTCTCACAGTACATTACATTTTCTCCTTTCTATTGTTCCTTTTTCTTTCAGTTCCAAAGTTCAATGCTATCAGGTTCCAACGTCACTTAACACTTCTTTTTAATCACGTTACTTAATCAAATGAAACTTAAACTCATGTTTACAAAGATAATGGTAATAAAACACCGCACAATTTCCGACACCCTCCCCCCATATGCCTACATTTAGGAGGCATATGTTGCGTTTATCTCCAGAAACTGAATCAAAACTAAAAGTTCTTGTAAGTGAAATCGATAAAGGAAACAAAGGATCAATGTTCAAAACTCTACACGGAGTCGTCTTAAATTCAAATGTTCAATGTTCAATTGGCTTGCTCTTCGTCAGCAATATCTTGCATTCGTACTCTCGCTGCAATTGCTGCGTCCCGGGTGGGTCTGAACTCTCGAGCCTCCGGGTTTAGCTGTTCCTGGGGTGTCAAAGGCGTCCGGTCGCACGACAGTTCCAAGGGGTAGAGATGATTTACTGCTCTCTCTAGGTGACCACCTCCCGCCCGCAGCTTAACTCCTCGAACCACTCCATCCCGGCCAGTGTACAGCTTCTCTACTATCCCCAGTGGCCATTTCCCTCTGTTTCGATCTTCCGAATGAACTATGACAACATCGCCAACAGTCAAAGTGCTTCCCTTCCCGTCATGTTTCAAGTTATGTCGCTCGCGAAGGCCTCTGAGGTACTCCTTGGTCCACCTGGTCCACATGGCGTCTTTACACCTTTTCATGTACTTAGCCCGTTTACGTAGATCACGAAGCTCACGATGTGGTTCCTTCTCTGGTAGGATAGTGGTACCGATGAACTGCATACTGTTAGGTGTGATCAAAGGTAATTGAACATCATCCTCCACGTAACCTAGTGGGCGGTTGTTTAAGGTCACTTCCACATCCAGGAGTACATCTTCAAGTTCCCCCCATCTGAGGCGACCATTTCCAATCGTTTTGTTAAGGGAACGCTTCACCAGGCCAACTAACCGCTCAAACTGACCGCCCCACCATGGGGCGCGGCTCAAATTGAATTGCCACTGGATGTTCTCAGTCGACAGGTAATGGTGAAACTGCTCATCTTGCTGGACTTGTTTTAGCCAACTTGCTGCGGCAACAAACGTTTTTGCGTTGTCCGAATAAATCTTCTCCGGCCTTCCTTTCCTGGCTATTAGGCGCTTTAGACTTCTTAGAAACTCGCTAGTCTCCATGCTCTTGCTGAGTTCCAAATAGAGTGCTCGCGTAAGGCTGCAAGCGTAAAGGATTATGTATGCCTTTCCTTCCTTCTTCTGGGTCACACGGTACTTGATGGGTCCCGCGAAGTCAACTCCGACAACTTGAAAGGCGCGATTTCCTTCGGTTCTGTCTCGTGGTAAATTTCCAGGTGGTGGTCTAGCAGCGGCCCTAACTTGGAAACGGCGACAACCATAACACTGCTTAATCACTTTTTTGGTCAGACGCCTGAGCCTCGGCACCCAATAACGCTCTCTGATGCGCGCCATTGTCAAACCGACTCCCCCATGCAAAGTACGACAATGGGCTTCTTCAACGAGTTTCACTGTGTAGGGGTGCAGGTCAGGCAGATAGACGGGGTAGTGTCCCTGAACTCGACCTCGACAGACGAGAATCCCCTGCTCATTCTCTTTTAACCCCAGCCTTTGCCGGTCTTCTGTCACTTCATCACCTTGAATCTCTTGAGCGCGCTTGGTCCAGAACAGATGTTGTTCATTAATCTCGTAGGTTGTCAGCGGACCCGCCATTCTTTCTTGTTTCTTTAGGCGTGAATTTCGCATGAATCTCGCGGCCCAGGCGACAATTCTTAACGTCTTTATCAGGCTAAACTTTCCCAGTAGATCATCAAGGCAGTCAGTTGATGCAGTGGCTCTATTAAAAAGTTCTTTGGTAACTTTAGCCTCTGTTTGGCTCTCAGGAGTAGCGCTTGTCACGATGTCTGTAGGCCACCTGTCTTTGTCTGAAAGCCACTCCGGTCCTTGCCACCACAGCTTGCTGTCATCGACTTGCCCTCCTCGACTTCCCAGGTCTGCCGGATTTTCCTTGGTGGGCACATGGCGCCAATAGATCTCTGAATGCCCTTGTATTTTCATCACTCTATTTGCTACGAACTGTTTGTACTCGCCACCACCCTTTATCCAATGGAGAGCCACTGAGCTGTCCAGCCATCCATAGCACTGTTTCACGGGAAAACCCTGGAGCGCTCTTCCTACATTTGTGATAAGATTTGCTGCCATATGCGCCGACACCAGCTCTAATCGCGGAATGGTGAGCCCCTGCTTCGCTAGTCGAGCTTTTGCAGTAACCAATCCCTGGCTCACACCCGATGGCTGTCTCACAACTGCATGCACTGTTGCACACACTCCGTTCTTACTTGCATCCCCGAAGGCGTGAAGCTCGATTTCTTCAATCTGCTCTTGCGCACACGTTAAGGCCCTTGCTACCATGACCTCGGCTGGTAACTCCTTCTTCCATCGTGTCCACCGATTTGCTAGCTGTGGGGGTAGCGGCGCATCCCAGGCCACTTTCACGTTGCATACATCTCTGTAGATGAACTTTCCCTTGATAGTTAAAGGCGCCGCAAGACCAAGGGGATCGTAGATTTTTGCTAGATTACGCAACAATGCTCTTTTGGACGCGACTACCTCATTTTGAGGCAAAACGACACTGATCTGGTCTTCCTGTTTGTCCCACGGGAGTCCAAGCAAACCACCGGTCTTTGCTTTTGATTGGCCGAGCTGCTGTTTGGCAAACGTGCCCTCATCTTCGACTCTTCTTTCACTCCCTTCTAACTCGGCAACATTCGAGTGCCACTTGTGCAGTGTGAATTTAGCGTCCGCGAAGATTTTAATAGCTCCCTCTTTCAGCTGTTGCGCTTCGGGTACTGTTGGTTTCCCGCTGATCAGATCGTCTACATACAGGCTTTTGCGCAGTTCAGCAACAAGTTGTGGCATGTGAGTTTCCCAGGTTTCAAGATGACACTCTATCACTCCCCCGAGGAGAAAGGGAGAAGGCACAAGACCAAACAGCGCTCGAGTAAATCTCAACACTTCTACTTCAGAATGTTCGCTGGTCTTCCAATGAAACCTGAGTGCATCTCTCTCTTCCTCCTTGATGCGCACCTGGAGAAAGGCCTGTTGCAGGTCCCCAGTGATAAGGACTGGATGGAAACGCATGCGTACTAAAACACTCCACAGGTGATTTTGAAGCGGCGGCCCGGCATACAGACAATCATTTAAGCTTGGAACTTGGGGTTTCGCACTAGATGAGGCGTCATAAACGATCCTCAACTTTGTAGTTTCAGCTCCCATACGAATCACCGGCTTGTGGGGAATGTAGAATTCTTTTCCCTGCGGCGGATCACTTGCAACTTCTACTATTCCCTCGGACTTCTGTTTTCCGATGATCTCTGCATAAGTCTCGGTCACATCCAAGCGTCGAAGTCTGTTGTGGAGGTTGCTGAGCCTTCGCAAACTGACTTCTTTATTGTTCGGTAAAGGCGGGTGGTTACCTTTCCATGGCAGCGAGGCTTCATACCAGCCTTCGGGATGCCGTACCAATTGCTCTCGGAACTCTGCGTAGACTGCGCGCTGATCATGTTCAGGGGTATCTTCAAGCCCTAGAACGTCTAACCGACATAGTTCTGCATAGTCCACGTGACTCGTTTGGGTCAGCAGCATATTCCCGTGGTCAATCTCAGTTCCCGGTGACATAATAGTCCACCCCAGCTTAGTCTTCTCTGCCACTGGTTCCCCTGGCAGTCCAACGCGCGGCCGTTCGGACGTCTTGATCGCTGCATACTCGCTCGCCCCTAATATCAGATGTACTGGAAGATGTGGCTTAGGGTCGCAGTCCGTCATCTCAACTCCCTTTAGATGATCGTACGAATTGATAATCTTTTGATAGTGTGGGTTATCGATCATCAGCAATTCCCGTCTTTCCACCTTGGTAACATCAACGTTTAATTCTTCACTGCCATCCGTTGAGCGTACTTTGATTGTGGAAAGTTCTACTTCACGTGTGGTCGATCCCAGCATCATTTCTATTCGACGAACCTCCTTTGCACGAGGGCGCTTGGGAAGTTTCTCTAACAGCGCGGCCGAAGCATATGAACTCCCAGCTCCTGTATCTAGAAGTGCACGACACAGTACTCCCTCCACGCTTACTTTCACAACAGGATAAACTACACGCCCTTTGTTCCCGGTGGCAGTCATTAATTGGTCTCCTTGGTTGCAAATCGATGTATGATGTTTCTGTCCGCACTTCTGGCAACGCATTTTACTCTTGCATTCGGCAGCATGGTGTTTCGGCCCAGTACAATTAAAGCACATTCGTTTCCGCGCGAGCATTCTCTTCCTCTCGTCCATCGTGGACACGCGCGTGCAATCCCGCGAGATGTGATTGGCGTCATCACAGTAAACACAAAGGCGCTGGTTTCTATTTTCTGCATGGTACAGGGGAGATTTTTTCTCAGGGCGCTTGGGGAGCGTAGACTTGTTTGCGACGTTATTTTCTTCAGTCGCTGGGTTTACATCTCTCCATTTCTTCAGGGCCTGGGTCAAACGAGGTAGATCCCAGTCTTGCCAGTTTTCTTGTCCCCTGACCAGATCGGCTTTAATTCCTTTCAATTTGTCTAGCACGCTTC